TTAACATTAATTTTATTAATTATCTAATTAAAAATATCTACATGATATGAATATTAAAATTAATACTACCTCTTTTATTTTTTTTCATAAAAATTAATGCACAAAAAGTAACTTTAAAATACTCTTAACAAATAAATCTAATAGTATAGATTAGGCAAACTCTATAATATTTTCCTTTATCTCTACATTAAGGAGTGTTTGGTTAGGAAAAAGAAGTTTCACACAAATTTTCTAAACTTTCTCCCTTAAAATTTTGTTTTCGTATTTTTATATATTAATACTACAATAAAAGAAGGGTAAAAATAATATTTTATATATTTATTTTCCCTAACACAATCTTTAATTGGTAAAATTTTCTTCTTACTTATTTTTAAAAAATGATTTTCTTATAACTTTTTTTACATTCGACGTAGTTAATAATTTTTCTTACTAATTTTATTTATATTAACTTCTTATTAATCACAATAAAATTAATAATTTAACAAAATTTTAATAAAATTTTATTACAAAACTTAACACTTTTCTTACAATTTTTTTTAACTTTTCTATAATACTTTTCTAATTACTTTTTCAATAAAATTTTTACGTACGAACTAAGTGAAGTTTTAAAGAAACAACCCTAAATTTTGAGAAAATTGGAAGTAATATTTTGGGTGAATCATGATTATTTTTCTGTTACGAAGTCGGGTTACTTTACGTACGCCGCTAATGCTGCAAGTGATAAGGTGAGATCCCCACATTAATTTGGTCCCAAGTCTTCTCTACAACCCATTTGACACCTGCTTTTAGCCCATAAGAAGCTTCATGCTGCCTTTGTTTATCCCTTATCTCTGAGTTTTCAGTAATTAATTTTATTTACTAATAACTTAAAAAGTCAAATATTGTAATTTTACTTATATTGTATTGTATTGCATTGAATGAATTCTATTTTTTAATGGAGATATGCAAGTTCCTTGATACTATCATGCTAAGCAAATCATTTTCAAAGATGGAATATGCCAGTATGTCTTTGGTTCTATAATAAGGACATATTCATGTCAAAGAACATATTCCAAATTTTAGACCTCAATCCGAGTCATCTTGGTTTTTTGTTTTTTGATGTGGCTGAGTCATCCTGTTGAATATGTTCAAGTAACTAACTTTTATTATTATCTTTTTAATTAAGAAATCAAAGATTTTTATTGTGCATATTTTCTATTAAATTCATACTTTTTTAATAGAATTACACGAGCTCATCAATATATATTTTATGGGGTTGAGGAATATACTCCCTCTGTCCTCAAATTAGTATCATTTTTTAAATTTAAATTTGTTTTAAATTATTTTTTTAATTTTTAAGATAAAAAAATACTCCTTTTATTTTTTTTAATGGTCTTAATTTTACTTTTTAACCTTTTACACAAATTTTAAATGAAAATTTAATATATTGTATAAATGGTAATTGAAATTTTTTTATCAAATAAAAATACTCGATAAAAACTTTATATAGTTAAAAAAAAAAAAACTTTTCAGTTACAATTCATATAAATTATTAAATTTTCATTTAAAATTTGTATCTAAAAATAAAAAAATAAAAATAAGACTATTGAAAATGAGCAGAGGGAGTATTTTTTTTTTTTTTACTTTAATCCTATTATCCTTTTACTTTAATCATTATCCTATCACAAAAAAGTTTTTTTTTATCTTTTATTTATTTTTTAATGATAATATAAGTAAATATATAAGTTGTTTCCAAATTCTTTCCTTGAAAAAAAGTTTTAAAAAAGCTATTATTTTGGGATAACGAAAATAATAAAAATACTTTTTTTTTTATCTTAAATTGTACAATGAAAGTTCTCTATTGCTCAACTTCTACACAGGTAATTTTTTTAGTCCAATGACATAAGGATGTAATAATTAATAGATTAAATTTTATATTTATCCCTAATTAATTATGGTCATTTTTTTTACTTTAAATGTGTTTTAAATTAATTGTTGTTTTTCATTTTTTAAAGCAAACAAATAGTGTTTTTCCTACTTTATCCCTATCATTATCTATCTATTTTTTATACGATTATCTATTTATTTTAATTAATCATCCTATTATAAAAAACCTTTATTTATCTTTTTCTTTTAAGGATAATATAAATAAAGACATAAATTATTACCAAATCCTTAATTTGATATCAAAATTAAAAAAAAAAAATGATAGTTATTTCAGGATAGATGAATATTTAAACAAGCCTTTTTATTAAATATATATTGTAA